TTTTAAGGTTCACCCCCGCCAACAGCTCCTGCAATGTTACAATAAAAAAAAAAAAAAAAATACAGGAGTTTTAATAAAGGGCAGCTGAACAAGGGCATACAAAACCGAGAGAAATGCATTATTAGATCATTGCATTCCCCCTGAACATCATGAAGAACATGAAAATGGAGAGGAAGTTCTCACTTTGAGCTGAGTGCAGATATTCTCAGACATGATATTGACGGATGTTTTCTTGATGACCTTAAAGTCCCAGGAGCAGAACACTTTCATTGCCAGAATATTGTGAGACTTGTCGATGCGGAAGCTTTGGCCAAATGATTTGGACATGCTGTGGGGAAATCATACAAAGCCTTAGACGGAGAATAGTATTTTTTTTTTAAAAAAAGAGTATACTAAAACATACAACAACAAAATTATGTCAATTAAGCAGGCAAGTTTCTAATAAACCAATGGCCTTCCCCTGCTCATTTAAGGTACTCGCCACCTGGTGACGAAAAAAAAGAAAGCCTTAGACGGAGAATAGTATTTTTTTTTTAAAAAAAGATACTAAAACATACAACAACAAAATTATGTCAATTAAGCAGGCAAGTATTCTAATCAACCAATGGGGTGAGGGGGCAGTAGAGAACGTTAGGGAACCACTGCACTAATGAAATTTCAAAACTACTACAGAACATCAACAAAGTCAATGAACGCAGTATCTAAAGGAGAACTTACGGGACATTTTGCATAAAAAAACATTACCATCGTTAGCAAATAAGTCTGATTTTTACATATTAGAGTATACCTTATGCTAGGTTTGCAACTTTTACTCAGGTGCGACTTATATATGAAATTATATATTAAAATATATAATTATATTATATATTAAAATATATAATTTATAATTTCATGTATATATATAATATATAATATATGTATATATATAATATATAATTATAATATAAATATATATATATAATATAAATATATAATTTCATGTTTGTTATTAACTGGCAGCCACTAGAGGGCCCTCTGTCACTCTGTAGCAGAGGTAAACAGAAACACTTCTAATCAAATAAGTCTGATTTTTACATATTAGAGTATACCTTATGCTAGGTTTGCAACTTTTACTCAGGTGCGACTTATATATGAAATTATAAATTAAAATATATAATTATATTATATATTAAAATATATAATTTATAATTTCATGTATATATATAATATATAATATATGTATATATATAATATATAATTATAATATAAATATATATATATAATATAAATATATAATTTCATGTTTGTTATTAACTGGCAGCCACTAGAGGGCCCTCTGTCACTCTGTAGCAGAGGTAAACAGAAACACTTCTAATCAAATAAGTCTGATTTTTACATATTAGAGTATACCTTATGCTAGGTTTGCAACTTTTACTCAGGTGCGACTTATATATGAAATTATATATTAAAATATATAATTATATTATATATTAAAATATATATTTTATAATTTCATGTATATATATGTATATATATATAAAAAGTATAATATATGTATATATATAATATATAATTATAATATAAATATATATAATATAAATATATAATTTCATGTTTGTTATTAACTGGCAGCCACTAGAGGGCCCTCTGTCACTCTGCAGCAGAGGTAAACAGAAACAGTTCTGAAGAAGCCTCTTGGATGAGAGGTGAAATGTCCACAAAAAAAAAACAAACAAAAAAACTACTTCATCCAGTTGCCCTTGATGTAACTATTTTTGGAAGATGAGATATCATTTTACAACCTGTAATCTCTCAAATGTATTTGTTGTAGATGTTTCTATTAAAAACACACAAAAATAATTCAGTATCGTTTGTACTCAAAATGAAATGTTTAGGTGCTCAAACCTGTACACAAGGATGATACAGGAAATAAAGAAGGCCACTCCAATGGTGAAGAAGTACGCCAGTGGCATGTTGTAAGAATGGTGGCTCAACAAACAATCCTCTTTGGCTCCAGGGGACACAGAGGGAAGTTGAACATCACTTCCATTCCCGCACTGCCTCATAAGGCTGTGGTTAGAGTAGTATCCATAATACATCAATGTGTCTGAGAAGTAACCCTAAAAAAACAGATATTAAAAAAAAGACAGAAATTCAGTAAAATTACAGTTAAGTTACAGTAGAAAAAAATGTCTACTGTAATTACATAATAAATAAATGTGATATCAGATATAACACATATATTCATTCCTCTTCAAAATTCTATTTAATTTGGTATATTTAAACATATATTTAACTTACCTACAATTCACCTAATTTAACTGTTAGCTAATAATAAACCAGCCACTAGGGTGCACAAACCATGTGCCTAGAAAGAATATCTCAGATTTGCCTTGAGGACGCCGATGAAGAAGTATAGAGAAGGTCAGAAGGAGCATTTGCCACACTGTTTAATCGTCTGGGCAGGTAAGCTGCACGTTTGGAAAGAAGGTTTCTCTGTGCCCATACAAAGGAGACTGTGAGCCACCTGAAGCGCAGGCCAACAATCTTGTGCCTCCCTGATGATTGATAAAAAAAGACAGTCGCAACGTTGTCTGAAAATTAACCATAATATGTCATTTATAAAATATATATATATCATATGTTTAGGGCAAAATAGCTTTGGGCTCATATCACTCGTGCTCAGCTGTGTACTTCTGACAGAAGGGGTCACTGGTCTAACAGCCAACATGTAAAAAAGACAGTCGCAACGTTGTCTGAAATGTGTAAAACAAGGCCACTTGAATTGACCTTGAAGAAAAAAAAACTACACCCAAATTTTTTAAACAAGGTCATATATTTTTTTAGATACTGTATCTTTCAGGTGAAATACTCTATTTAGTTCTTCCTCTCCTGTCTGGATCTACATCTACAGTACTAACCACCGGTAGCATACTTCATATTGATATGCTACATGCATGACAAATTTTCCACCCCAGATTTTTGCAGCGGAAAAGAGAGCACATTTTTTTGCAACTGCTGATGTCAACAGTCTACAGTTTTCTACTGATCTTACAAAATGAATATAGTTTCTAAGATTTTGAATTTGGCGACCTAGATTAAAAAAAAAAAAAGTAGGCTGTGCTGTGTGTTACAGTTGGAAATAACATGGCCCGGAACACAACTTACTGCACCGGTAAGGAGCTCCAATCCGGTGAAGAGGTGTCTTTTAGACGACGGACCAGGATGGATTGCCTGGGGCAGCACCAAAAATGCTCCAATAACCAGGAACAAGAAAAGGTTAAAAAAGAGCAGGGTCCTAAGGAACAGGAAGTAGGACAGGACTCCGGTACCAAAACGTCCACCCACTCTCTTAAGTGCCACTTGCCATAGCTGAAGTGAATGCAGAAAGGACAGCCAGCTGTACGAGCTCTGTCGCAATGCCTAGAATAAGAGTGTGAGAGAAGAAGAATGGTTAAAAGGCAAGTATTTTCAAATTGCAATACAATGGAAATGTGAGCCAAAGAGACATGTTCCGGTTAGTGTAACGGTTACCACGCCTCCCTCTAAAGCAGAGAGAAGAGAATATATAAATATATATATATATATATATATATATATATATATATATGTGTATAT